ATACTTCAGAGACACACCGTAGAGATTTAAGCATAGAGAATCTGTAATACTTGGTAAGTGGCATCAACTATAGGACAGGCATTGGTCTTGGCATGTGGGGTTCATTAGTGAACCAAATAAATAAAAGTGAATAGGCTATAGGGAAAAAGAAAAGTAAGGCTTGGAAAGGGAAGACTGTGTAAGTAAGAGGAACTGGGCTGATATTTAAATAGGTTTGTCAGGCTTAGCTTCATTTAAAAAGTGACATTTGGAAAAACAAAGAATAAAACAAAACAACAAAACAATAAACAAAAATTTTAAAAAGTGACATCTGAGCAAGGATTGAGAGCGCTGAGGGAGTTACGCTAGCGCGTAAGGGCCAGAAACTGTTCTAGGCAACTGAACACAACAGGCGGCCCCTGTGAGGAGGTAACATTCCCAACTGAGCCCTGGAGGATAAGAAGCAGAGTGAGAAAAAGTGGAAACAAAGGGAAGTCTGGGAAACACACACACACAACTTGAAGTCCTATTCATTAGTTACAAAGAGAACCGTAGACTGTCGAAGGGGTATTCAGATCAGCCTCTCCCACCTATCGTAATGTTGCTTGGGGAACACAGAATCCGAATAAAAGGAGTGAGTTGTGTGATCTCAATGTCTGATGGGATGAGCCCTTTGGAAATCACATTCTCAACTCCCGGGCTCTGGAGAGCTCCCCGGATGAAAGCCAGGCCACCCTCTCGGGGGGAGGGGGGGGGGCTCGGTTGCACCTCCCGTTCATTCCATCTTCAGTAAGGGCGTGGTGCTCCGACTGAAGGACACTCTCTTTCATCGCCAGGATACAATCAAGTCTTGAAGGCCTGGTTTCTTCCCACTGACTGCATATCTCCACTCTCACCTTGTGCTGATGGACTTTATAGTGTTTCCTCAGAGGACACTTATTCCCAGGTTCCAGGGGACACTCTGCCTTGCCAGACAGGCTTCGTTTCATCACCAAGCAGAAAGCAAACAGCAACAGTCACTTACCCACCCAGGCTGGCCCGGCTCCTGCAGCCACGTCTCCGAGCTACCCTGCCCTTCCTGGCGGCGCGGCACCGACCCAGAGCCCCAGGACTGTCGTGCGCACGTGTTATTTCGCCTTTCGGACTCTGGGAGGCACCCAACACGTTTTAGTTTTCCCCCTCCGATACTGGGGAGACCTTTCCAACCGTGGAGCTAGCTACTCGCAGGGGCTGGGCGCAAACTGCAGCGCCTCTAGCAGCTGCGCGCGGGTCCGGCCTGGGGCCCCCATCTTCCC